GGGTAGAGGTGGGGCGAGTGGCGTTGTAATACGCATTAAAATCCAACTCGGGCAATTAATCTGACATGCGGTGCAGTTAAACGAAGGTAGGCGCCATTGGACCAAGAGGCGATGACACTTTTTTACGCATGTAACATAATTACACGTAACACACCGTCTTCCGCCCGAACTGCATTCGTGCGCTTTTCACTGTCTGTCGCCTGATTGCAGCTACGCAAGGCGGGCCAGACATTGACTATTGTTATTATTATTAGGCTGAGGCGTGCTGTTGTATTTTGTGCGTTTGTTTGGAAGTCGTCAGGCCGGAAGTGTTTAGTAGGAAATTGGACGCATTTGCTCAACCGGGACGAACTTCGCGTGGTCAAAAATTGCGCGAGGAATGGACAATTTGGACCAATGAGGCATGCATGCTGGACGTTCACTGTTGACCAAACATAAGGGGTCCCTCAAAAGGAGTCCTGCAAGGGACATTAACGTAAGGCATCGGAGTAGGAGCCCCGGTGATCCAGGTGATCTTGTGTCCTAAAACGAACCCTAGCCGAAAAATGTGAGAGAGAGACTGGAGCAGACATTTCTGACTTGTTATCTGTCATCAACCAGCCACAACTAGCTCCGAGGTATGCAACCCCTGAGGCTAGAACTCGCCACCTGTTGGTCAGAAGCCCGACGCCCTAACTATCAAGCCACGACTCGTTATCCTGTCGGTTGCGATCGGGTATATTGATAATTATAGAGGGGCGCGCACCCGACCGCAACCGATAAGACAACGAGCCGTGGCTCAGTTCGAACCTCGGGGGCTGCATACCTCGGAGTTGGGTATGGTTGGCTGATGATAGCTAACAAGCCAGAAGCGGTCATTCCAGTAGCCATAGCCGTATGCCTACCATAAACCCAATCCTAACCTCAACACCAACCTTAGTCACTCCGAAAATTAACGCAGGGCCTCCGGAACAGGGGGCGATTTCTGTTCCCCTGTCTTGCCTCCACTAATGCACCGAATTCATTTCTGCTCTAGAATGGTTAACCACCAAAGACAAGACAGAAGGATCGGTCATATGTTTCCCGTGTCACCGTTGTCGATCAGTCGAAGAGCTTGGAATTTGAATCAGGTCTCCGTCCGTTTAAGGTTTCAACGCTCTACCGGTGATGCTCTGAAGATCGTTAGGTAGGATGTGAAAGTAGGAAGGCATAACACACGTATTTCGTTCTACAATTGATACCAGTCAGTGGGAGCAATTTGCATGTGGCATTTCTGCCTCATCGAGACTTGACTCTCTTTCATCACAACATTGTTTGCCGTATTTCGGTCCGTTGGATTAACTCCGGGGCAACTTTCTCCTCTGAAATAGTCATCCGGATCAGATGCTTTTAGATTGTCTCATCTCCCAACAGCAGTGATACCGCCTAGCCATTCCTGGTCTCTCCATCCCGAATTACCTTGAAACGGGATTATAGAAGTGATGTATTAGATCTAGCATTCAATTCCCCTCTCTGCCGCCCAAATATTGGTCAGGCACTTTATTTCTACATTCTTACCCTCGTCTGTTGGTGTCATCCTATAACGTCCTTGTTTGTTTAGAAAAAGTAATGCCTGTATAGCCAAATGCCCGAGAAGATTGGCCTGACCCTCTCTCTTTCCTCGTCCGAGCATTTCTACCGACTGATAATGAAGTAGGGCGCGGTTCCAGGTGTGACGTGAATGCCTCCGTCCACGTTTGCCACGCACACACACATACGGCGATGGTTAAGGACTCAAGTAGCCCTACCATGGATGGGTTAACGCATTCCATGAACCAATGTTCGCCCCTCCTTCTTGGGGAGGGAAGGGCATGGCTAGCCAAACCTTTCAGTCCAGACATGTGGCATTTAGATATCATAAAAATGTCCAGTTCGGAGGACTTCGCGATTTTAGCAGTCCCCTGTGTGAATATCTATGTTCCTAACTTATCCTACGGATTTTACACCAACAACAATTCGCGTCGGTATTTCTTGCAAAGCCCATGCATACTAGTATGTGTGACCTAACCTAAATAGAATCCACTTGGCATGCATCCGTTAGGGCTGTTCTCCATTTGTATTTTTGCCCCCTACTAATTCCGTGTCAAAAATGTCCGTAGATCATAAATCCCCGTATAGTCATCGAAAGCCATTAGCAACTAAGCACAGTGTTGAGCAGTAGGAAAGCGGAGAAAAAGGGCATTTCGTGGAAGTGTTCTATGAACTGCTTCACTTTCAGATGTCTCATATGTCAGCAAACCCCGTTTAATCAACGCCACCGCAAACTAGTGCGCACTTAGGGCGCTATGTTGACTTAACACGGACCTGCTTTCCTCGTCCTTAGTGCAGCCATAACTCATCGTGAAGACTTCGTTAATTCCACCTGGCTTCTAAGCGAAGGCCGGATGCTGTAAGATAGCGCTGATTGCCTTTTACTCTACCGTCCCCGCAATATTGATGAAAAACCGCTTCTGGCGACGATTCTGTATTGATTAGTCGTCGAGTTTTTACTCCCTCTTCGCGCCAGTCCGAATTGTTTAAGGACGTTCCGCTGTCTGTCGTCTGTAGATACACCAACCTGTGTACAGCCAAGCTTCCAGGCAAAATTCCCTGTATGTTAGGGCGGAGTTAGACAGGCATACATTGTAAAACCGGCTTGTTTCGAGCGCCGAGGTGAATTTACTTAAACAGGGCATCTGCAAATAGTTCCGCCCAAAATGCCAACTGTCCGGCCTGTACACTTGCACTTACTAGTCTCTTCCACGAGGTCAATCTATAGCTCAAGTGTAGGCACACCACAATCTACGCGCTCGCCCTGTGTCAGGCAACTCCAACCGAGGCTAGAGAGTAGAATTCGTAATGATGGCTATTACTGGACTTCGAAGCCAAGTCTTCTGTGCTGTGAACCATCGAGCTGGGTGGATGCCTAATTCTAACTTCCAGCCCCACTTTCGCTGCCCAACAGGGCTCATTTAGCAGCATCGTTGAGGAGTCAACGCCGACTGCGGCGGAGCGCCAAGTCTTGTCCCAACATCAGCAGCAAAAGCAGGCGCCACCTCCACCACCACCACTACCGCCTCCGCCATCTCTCAGCACAGCTCCACCACCACCACCGCCGCCTCCGAAATCCGCACAGGCACTCCCGACCGTTCCCTCTGCCCCTGTTCCACAGCAGCCGGTACCGACAGCTGTGGAACACAGTCTAGCAGCCTCAGTCGCTTCACTGGATCCGTTCGCGCCCAGCCCTGCCACCTGGGACCTGCCAATCGCTGTCGCCGTGACGGAGACCTGGCGTGCCCAGTTCCCCAACGGCGGTGGCAGCTCCTTCTCCATCGCGGCCGGTCTAGTCGCACGCCATTCCATCACCGGTCAACTCATCCTCGCCGTGGCTCTCCAGGATCTGCTCCACGTGAATGACCTTTGCCAGAAATGGGGCGGTCAGCTGCCCACGCTTGTTCTTGTCTTCAACAATTGCCAACGTATGCGAGCACTTCAACCGGCCTTCCCCGGGGTCAGTATCAGTAGGTGGGTGAACATTTAGCGTAGGAGAGCATGCACACATCAAGCCTGACTACCACAGTCCTGCACATAGTACTATCGCAATTCTTTCTGACTTCTCCCACTTTGTCTGGTGTCGCTTTCCTCATTTGAAACTGTCCTCCTATGCCTACTGATTTCAAGAAGTAACTTAAATTCTCTGACTGACTCCTCTCCCCCACCTGTAGGAACTCTGCAATGTGACAGTGGATACTTAGTTGTCAGCTGCTCTAGGACGTTAATAGCCGAGCTGTCCAAGTAATCCCTTCCCTAATTTTTTTCCATAAACTAGAGATGGGCAACCAAATTGTGCTCACGCAGTGAGAACGCTAGCAGACACATCTTTTTCCGGGAAATGAAGACGAGTTACCAACCAGCCCCCAAAATTCGCCTTTTGCTGCCGAGCTAGCACAAGTCACGTCGGCCCCATACTTTCCTTCATTCAGGATTATCGAGGGTAATTTAGCCTGACTGACAGCTCTGTCGAGATTGGGAAGCACGACTCGTATCCGCAGAAGATGGAAAATGCGGTCGACAATCCACACAATCCGCAGTTTTAACAGAACATTTCCGGCAAGGGTAGCTTAGTACCACACCGTCCCTTCTGTACAGACTTTGTTATCTTTGTTGCGTAATTTAATAAAATAACTTGAAGTACTTACTTATTCGTGCTATACATGACAACGCCTGAGGGATTGCAGCCGTTAGATTCGGTTGTATGCGTGTAAGTTGACCGTAGCGCTAACCTCAGCCCAAACTCTAGTCTTATCTGGTGCGTGCGGTTTCGGACCCCCTTAAGACGTTGTGCATCTTCAGGCCTGTTCTGTTTCAGCGTCACACGCAAACTTAAATATCCGTCGCTACCTCAATAGGATAAGTAGCAAAAATTGCGCGCAATTTTATGTAGTAGCGCGGAGGAGACTCCTTCATTAGCACTAACACATCTCATCAAATTTTCGATGTCCAGAACTCTCATAGGTTCTCCTAGGGAAGCGCCACGCAGTTTTTTTTTAAGGATTGATGCACTTTGACATCCAAGTGGAGCTTACATGCGATTTTTATTACCGCGCATCTTAGCCGTTTTTTGACCACTTCCATAGAACAGACTATGGGGAACGTACACAGTCAGAATGTTGGTCGGTGACTGGATGTGTTGCCGTGAAAAAGGCTAACGCAGCTCTATCACCAGAAGTTGCGTAACCCGTCGTATAGTGAATTGATGGTCAGTACATTTAGGGGTGGCCATAATGAACTAATCGAATTTTAAGCACAAACCTACACTGTAGAATGGCACTAGCTCCAAGAATCGTTGGCCAGTGCACTAAGGGGTTGGGCGCACCTACCAACGTCGAACAGTTCAGGGAAGGTGTCGGTCTGCGACTGACCAGGTGCGTTCTCCAATATGACAGTGTCCCCTCCCCACCCACAAACATGCTTTTAACGTTTTCAGAACGAAAGTTTCCATATATTCGCTCCCTTGACTTGGTCGGGTTCATGGTCTCTGAATCCCAACAGTCACTTCCAGAATTATCAAAGTCACGTGATTCAGCACCTTCAGGTACTTTCCATCTAGCTGAGTCTTGTTCTCACCCTCAGGGAAGCAGCTACCTCTGACCATGAACGTATACCGAGATGGTCCGAATAGGTAATTGTCGACAGGGCTAGCCGTTTGTGTAAACATCCTCCGACCTCTAATGCTCACTGCTTTGTAGCCCATTCGGTGGACTGCAGTTTGACCAAAAAGGGGTTACTGCCTCCATCTGAACAAAAATGTAGAACTGTACTCTCTAAATGTCAACTGTTAGATGTCCGTGAATGGACGTTCGCTCACCTTCTGACTGGGGAGGGTAGTTTTTCCATCAACAATATTAGACTTTCACGCACTCGTCCAACGCTTTCCATAATTTTGAACAACGGTATATCCTTTCCGTGATTCATAGAATTTTTATTTTATGCACACACAAACAGCAGTTTCTTGAGGATCATCGTCTTTTACTGGTTCAAAACCGGAGAGGAGCCCATAAAGAAATGTTAAACTGTATAGATAAGATACGCTGGAATGACCATTTCTGTCTTAGTTGAGGTTGTCGACTGGCTCTATTCCCAACTGGACCCAGCCTCGAGTTGAGGTTTGGCTGGCTGGTGGCTAAGGAGAAGCCAAAAACGAGTAGCTCAGTCCCTTACGCAAAATTCTTCGTCTACTGAATGCCAGTTACCTTTGGAGACGCTAGACCGGACCGCCAAGCCAAAGCGGAACGCCTGTCTTCCTTCCCCGAAGGCAAGGCCAGATCTAAGCTAGCGCAAAGCGACAACCCTTTTTACTGAAATATATACTAGTATTTGGCACTTGATGAGTCTTGGGGCTTTTTGGTGTTGGTCATTCTGTAGTAGGGTTTTCGAAACAGAAGGCTCGTGAATGCTTGAACTGTTCAGACGAAATGTCTCGGACGGTAGGGAGACTACGACAGATGTGAGTTGTACGCTGGGAATAGGGAGAGGATGCGATCAGGGTTTTCACGCTGCGAATGAAGGTGGGGAGGCCAAAGAAGGATTGCTACAGGTAGTGTTATCTAAGGACAAGATGGCAAATACCGTGTCGGTACAACAAGTACAAGTAAGTAGTGTCGGTACGAAGAACGGGTGGCATGTTTCGCGTCATGACCAGTGCTTGGGAGTTGGGAGTGAGGTGCGCTTGTAGACCGGATAAGTGCACATCGGCGATCACTAACGTTGCAGTCGAAAAGCCTTTCGTTTCCATTGTACATATTATTTTTCCACAAGTCCTGTCGTCCTAGATTTATTGACGCGCAAGAACGTAGCTGTTTCAGATAAGCGCATGCTTCTTACTCGTTGGTCGCAGCAGTTATCCCTTCACCCGGGAGTGCCAGCCGGTGGTAAGTGATTTAATTGTGAATTGTTTTGTGATGGGGAAGGGCTTGCGTATCGTCGAATCCCCTCCTAATCAAATCGTAATTCAGTGACAGGAAGACTGACGGTAAAATGGGCGCATTAGCAGACCTACCTTGTGCGTGTGTGTGCGCGCGCGCCACAAAACGATTGGTTCCTGCCAAACAAGATTTCACCTCAAATCCTCGGCCTCCTCCCGCTAAGTATTGGCCAACTTAAACAGTTGCCAGAGTCTGGCCAGCCGCTGCAGTTAGCAAAGTTTTACAGAGTTGCAAATGTGTGCTAGTCAAATGGTGGATCAGAGAAAAGTAACCATCTCATGCACCTAGAATTTTAGGGCGATTGTTAATCAATCAGAGTTTTTACACCTCTCTGCGCACGCCACACACCCACGCACCAACTGGCTCTATCTTCTACCAGATTCTCATGTCAGTCCAAGGTACACTTTCTGTCTGACACCTTATTCTCTTGTGCCCAATACACCACACTCTCCCCGATTATAAATATCACAGTTCTGTATATTTATTCTCAGTGCTGGTCCTCCCACGTCGGCAGTGACTGCCGATGCCGCCAATACTGCCGGCGACGCCTTTCCCACTTCCTACTCCGTCACAGTGGCCGGTGATGTGCTGTTTCAGGGTCTTACAGCGGCCGCAGCAGCCCACCCGTCCGTGGACTCTGAGTATACACGTCTCGGTCTGCTCAATTATAGCGTGGATCTCAGGGGTCTTCGGCCACCCATCACAATGTGCACATTTTGGCGCTGTGAACCGGCATCTACGGACTTTCGTCTTGACTACTGCATCCAATGGCCTCGGGACAATTTCAATGAGGACTCCTTGGACGCTCGGTTCGTCAAATGTACCCCCCCCCCATCTTGACTAGGCAGTTACGAAGTCCTCCAAAGTGCGTTCAAATAGCTTGGCATACGAAAACTGAGCACCCGATCCTGCCTTTACCTTAGATTCTGCTTTCTTTTCCTCTACTAATTCATCTTTGTATTGGTTACCTTACTTATTCAGATTGTTCTAACTTTTTCTAATTCCTCTTCGTTAACTTTTTAATCTTCTGACTCGTCATCTCCTAGTCGTTCTTGTTTCCTCCGTCTGCCTACTACTCTTTCCGCATCTTATCCCCCCTCCCTTGTTTCCTCCCGCCCCGGTCTTTTATTCATAGTTTCTGCTCTTCCCTTCCCCCCTCCTCCTCCTCCTCCTCCTCCCCTTCCTCCCCCTCCCCCTCCTCATCATCCTCATCCTCCTCCTCCTCTCCTCTTCTTCCTCTTCGTCTACTCACACCTACTTTCTTGTTACAATTTTGTCATACAAGATGGGAGGCAGAAGGCCCTGTAATCGGAATTATCTCTCTGTGCACTGTGCACTCGTACTTAAGGGCATAGTTGCAGATAAAACGGCAGCGAAAACAGAGAGCCTTAAGTAGTCGTGGCTGTCTGACTCCTGATAGGTCCCTCCGGAAACCTCACTGACCTTTCCTTCATGGTAAACGTCTTTGTCAGCTTGTAGGGGTTGAGCCCTTCGACCGCGATTGTTTATCCCCCTGTTTCTTTCGGCCCACTCAATTACCTGTACGCTGTTGAGGTCAAATTGGTGGGCGTTGTTGAGAGTGTGCACAGCAACGTGTGAGTGTGCCTTCTGCCGGGGAAACACAAGAGCAGTATCGGTTGCTTTCCAGGAAGCATATAGTTCCATTTTTTGCCCTGAAACTGGCTGGTCAAGGAAGGGAGCACCACTGCCTCTAGACTTTTTCTATGTTTTAGCCTAGATTTTTGGGCCGATTGAGTCCTGTCCGCGATTAAAGCTTTGCCTTACACCTCGACATTTAATGATAAACTGGCCATCTACATTGCATATTCAAAGGTTTGATCGGCAGTTCGCGGAAAAACCGGCTCCCAGCTTCTGCTCTGTAACGAGAGATGGGTTGCCTGGATTTGGTCGCAGACTGCATCACTTAACGTGATGTATTCAAGCAGTAGTCCAATGACTCCATTAGGTTGCTTGTTCTCCATCGCCCTCAGGTATTTCGTTTTGGCGCATTGCCAAAGTCAGACTTGTGTTTGTGTTGTCCAGTATAATTTTCATGGAATCCGAATGGCCGATTTGGTATGAAATCGCCTAGAAGCCCCTGAGACTTCGTCACGTATGTCGTCCTGTCCAAGACAATACTAAGACTGACCTTCAGTCACCCCATCGATTCGTTTGCACAGCGCCTGCTAAGCGGATGAGAGGCCGATGTACCCATTAAAAGCTGAAGCGCATTTACTTTGCTTGGTTACCTGGGGTACTGCCCGCATACGTGTGATATTAAATCCTACTCCATCTATCTTCCTACAGCCACTGCAAATTGCGTTACAGGGTTCCTGCAAACAAATAAAGACATTCACATTTAGAACCCTCATTGGATCTTAACGGAGACGCAGTGTTGGGCGTCGTAAAAAAGTCCATTTGTTAGTCTCTGAGACGCTTCCTCAAGTTTATCCTCCCACCCATAACGATGGACCCGTGAAAAGACCCAAATGTCCAAAACCCTAAATTACCTTGCCTAAGGATGATCACATATTCTTCCCATGCTTCACACTTTTCCTCAAGCTCCAGATTAAAAGGCTGATTCATTAAAATTTTTCCGATCAGCTGCCAAGACCTCCGGGTCACCCTGCTTGTCGATGGAGGTGTCACGCATATGGAAAGTCACCCAGCAGGCAACCTAGATCGGGAAAAGTGTCGTGCCAGCTGGAATGTCCCCATTGATGGTACCGCCGCGCCAGCAACACCAACAGCTACCTCCCCCGTCTCTCCCCGCGCTGTCTTCAACTCTGGCCTGATACGTGCCAAGTTTACTCTCTCCGCGGGCCCCGGTAAGCCTCAGCCGGTGGCCTTGCAGTTTTGTCGCGACGGTGGCGCTCTGCCCAGTGGAACCACAATCACCCTGCGCTCGGAGGGTTACCGTCTCACCATGTGCAAGTACCGTCTCCTGGGTGATCGGTACTTTTGTGATCCACCGGTTGCACCCCTGTCTCTCGCCTCATCCGGGCGCGAGACGAAGCCGTCTGGCGGCCACTAGCTGCCTGCGCTCGTCGCCTTCGCTGCCGTGCCTTCAAATCCGCCCAAATTCTCCCTCTATCCCCCCTCCTCCGCCAACTTGGGCCCCACGTCAATCCATCAGCCCTCAGATTCTTATCTGGTGAAAATACTCATGCCCCCCCCCCTACCCGTTTTCTGCGTTAGTTGTGAGGCCTAAAGTACCCACAGTGTTGCCTGTCAGTGACACATTGGCCCAGCTCTGTCTCTCTGCTCCAGTCCACTCCTTCCGACCCCGGTTTCTCATGTCCATCTATTCATGCCCTTTAGCCCTCGCAGTGTGACTTGTGTCTAACAGAAATATTTCCTTTCTTGGCAAAATGAAATGCGATTTTTTCTACACAACAACTTATTTTTCGCACCGGGTTCGTGGGTAGGAGGCCTATTGCACTGCAGAATGGATGAAGTTGTTAGTATGCTGATTATGTTGGCTAGTCGTCGGTCTCTTCCCGATGCTTTGCCGGGAAGGCGGTCTGACAGAAGAGCCTCAAACCTATCTCATGTGGGGTCTCGTAACTCAGTTGGCCAGAGCGTTGGCTGTACTCAAGCCTTCCCCTTTCTGTCGTGGCTTCGAATCCCGCCGGGGCTCCCGAGTTCTTTTACAGATGGGTCAAAATAAATCTTCTCATGTTTGTCGAAACGCTACAAGCATTGCGGCCATTCAGCATACCAAAATCAGTCATTTTTGCTCACCAACGATTCAGCAACTTAAAGGAGTCAATTTGGGACGTGAAAGTTCTTCGGAAAATTTTCAACCGGTAGTTGCGCGCGCGGCTCGGATTTCGTTAGTCGAAACCGACTCGGATGAAAAGGGAAGTCGAGTAATCAGTTAATCGTGGACGGGGTGTGCTACTGAGATGTGACTGGGAAGATGCCACCTGTCACCTCAATGGGCAGAGTCTGCCAGACACGACTTTCCTCCAAAGTTTATGATATGCAGCACATCCTAGCTCAGCAGTCTTTGGGAATTTTGGGTTATTGGAGGCAGGTTTGTGCCGGCAGTAATTTGGGTAACAGTCGGGAGAGGGCACTCAAAAAATCCGCCTAACCAAAACAGCCTGTCTTACGGGACAGGTGGTAATAGGGGTTTTATTTGTGGTGGCTCGTCGGGATGTACGATACTAGCCGGCAGAAAGCCTTAGTTGAACAGGTGAATGATCGAATTCGACCCTCCCTCTCCGTTCCGTTATTACAAAATGGGTCGCCAAAGGCATTATAGTGGTAACGGACGAGTGGAAGGCGTATAATCGTCTTCCCTCAGAAGGTTATCTACATTTCTCTGTTAACCACTCAAATAACTTCAAGGACCCTACCACCGGACGGCACACCAATGCCATTGAGGCATACTGGAGTAGACTGAAGAGGAAACTCCCCTAGGGAGGCCCTGTATGTGGTCGAGCTGTGTGCGTTCACATGGATGAAGTACAGTATCGTCTTTGGTTTGGCCTCAATGCCATGTATTTGACAGATGCCTGGGAACTGTTCCTGTCTCCTTTCGTGCAGACTTATCCTATTTAACTGTTTTTGTTATGTTATAAACTGCCATAATGCGAATGTATGCCGTATATTCAGGTGTACGTGTGTAACAATGGGGAAGGTTGGGTAACAACGACCATCGTCCATGTAACCTTCTGCGATGTTAGTTCGACTAGCCCATATTAGGCCGTCGCGGAAAGTCCAAGTAGTGCGTGAAAGTAGGCCTGCAACCGCTGATATAGCTTGAAGGCGTTTAAGTCCACTGTCAACGGTATTACTTCTAGGTAACGGATTTTTTGGGTGCCATCTCCCCACTGTTACCGTAATTTGAATCACTGGTCACCACGACGTGGAGCGCGGACTAGGAATCGCAGCATTTTGTGCTGGCAGCCTAACCGCAACGCGGATATTAGTGTGTAACTCTGCCAACTTGAGGTTTGCCCAGACGGTATAGGGGCAGTCTCCATTTCGAATGCAGGATGCTGTAGAGGAGACTTAAATATCGGTTGTCCATTTCTACTGCAGTTACAACACCGTCAAGCCCCCGCTGCATCGTGTTCAAGTAGGTGCTTAGTGCCCTCACGACGTGCCACAGCGGGGGACGGCGTGCGTTACCCGGCCCGGGCGTGACCCACGCATCCGATGATAAATGTCGCGCAGCCGGGTGTGCTGGCATACCGCAGGTTTTACTGGCGCACAATCCCAGCATCAAATGACTGACCGGCTCGGACAGTGGACTGGTGCGTGCGGGAGGGAGGTCGGCTCTGCGGAATTCATTCTCAGTGCATTCATCACTATGACAGACCTGATGCGCCTCTAACGTATCACGACGCGCCAAAGTCGTCAATTGGAAAGTTACCGACTGATGGGATAACTCTCCCCTCTCTCAGGATGGGAAGTCAGGCTCAATGGCTCCTTCCGAGTGTGGCCTGTGGTAGTCCCGCTTAGATGCGGTCTGGACCGTCTCACTTGTTCTGCGGAAGACCACCACCACAGGTCTGAGGGACCAGGCCGTATGTAGCAAGCCTCGACGGGCCGCCTAGGTTTGTCAGGCTCACTGTCAGCCGCCTTGACATTTACTGTCCAAGTAAAGTGCCAGGGGGCGGAGAGAGTTCGGTAGATTCTGCTCAAGTCTACCTCGCTATGAACTATTCTACGTTATAGTTACTTGAGTTGTTCACAGTCCACGGGCACATGATGGACATCGTCGTCCGCGACTGTCGAACTGCTATCTGGTGTCTTCTAATGTGGTGCCTTCACTCTGGCTTCACACATACCCAACTGAGCATTTTCCAGTCAAATGAAGCAGCACAGCAGTTGTGTCACGAGTAAGTACTGTTTACCCACCCATCTTGCGACTGTTGAACATGGATGATTTCTTTCTGGGTTTAACTTAAGTGATCAATACTAGGAGATCCTGTGCTCCTACTTCGGCCTGCGATTACAACACGATATGGTTACCAACTTGGGGTCTGTCTCGGAAGTCTAGAAGACTGCCTCCATTTCGAAAGTAGGGCGTTGTAGAGAGAACTTATGTCTTGGTTCTACTCACAAACCTCGCGGTCACTACCCTGTCATGCTCCCGCCGTCTGACGTTTGGGGAGGTGTCTGATACCCTCGCAGCGGATGACAGCGGAGGGAAACAGATTGGGTCACAGCGGCTTTCTAGATGAGAGTACTTTCAGTTGACCCTTTTCTGTAAGAAATCAGTGCCGCTATCGTGATGCAAGTGCCGGTCGGTTTACCCACAAGGCGATATCAACATTCTGCCCGTTGTAGAGGTCAGCGACCTAACTGATAGAAGCTTTTTATCCGAACAGAATCTACCCCTCCTCTGTCGACTACTGCCTGAAATATTCTCACTACTTAAAGCATACCTCCCGAACTTCACTCCATTAGGCAACTTTCAAATACTGCATGCTGCGCTTGTGAATCAGATCTCCACGTTCGGTGGGGTAACTCCGCCATCTCGTTCCTACACCCGGGCAGCACGTGGTGTTCATAATCCTGCGTGTGCGGCCGAACGGTTTGGCCGATCTCAGACACCCAAAGATCAGAAGATAAAGCTGGTTTAGCGATTTTCTAACCGTTGCATTTGAGTTTAGACATTAAGATTATCAATAATACAGGTTCGCGCTGGTAGGATCGCCCGGTCCCCTTTGCCATACTCTTTTCGGGATGCATCTCTCCCAGCCTGTTCATATTTCGTGGTAGTCGATAGAGCGCTGTCCTGCTCATCAGGGCATTCGATTCCGAGCTCCCGGCTCACCAACGCTCCCTTGACAAAGCATATCAATCGGTGTCGAAGTAAAAATTATTGCTGGTATCTGTAAGATGTGGTTTGGTAGCCTCACCTGATGGACACAATACTTTTGGGGTTGGGGTTAGACTTAGGAATTAGGATTAGGGGTTGTGGTTAGAGCCTAAGGTTAGGGTTAGAGTTCAGGGTTAGGGTAACTATTTCTCAATCACTCAGAGTACAACCACACATTCCCAATAGCTATTCTTCTGCTATTCAGCTACTTGACCTCGTCGCCTGTGCGTACCCCGGCTCCACCTGTAAGGACGCCTATTACCACCGGTCTCATATTAGAGGTGACTGGGATTTGTTTACTTCAGGTGGGGCTACATAACCACATCCGACCCTGGTATCATAGCGGATTTCCAGTTTGTCGGCATCCCATGACTTCTGATTGCGACCAGATATTCCACTTCATTTTGACTGGCTGTCGCAGTCGTTTGCGTGGCAAAAAGTTGTGCAGTCAGTGCTGGATCTTGAGTGATGGGGCTCATAGATGGCATGAAACAGAGGAAAAACTAGGAGCGCTGTTTGCCGCGTCAGCGTATAAGCACGCTTTTGGAGAGTAAATTCGAAAAACTGGGGAGGGATGACAATTTCGTTTAGAAAGGGCCTGATACTTGGCCCTCCCATATCATAATAACTGATCTGTTGACTGCGGTTTTTCTGCTGGGCAAGGGTATGGTTTACACCGGGGGTCACTTACTCCGGGGTGCAAATGTGTTGAGGAAAAGAGTCGAACATCCAAAAATTTTGTGGCATCACAAATTCTGATCCTGTATGCTGTCATCAATCAAAAGGTGACGGAATTTTGCCATTTAATAATAATAATAATAATAATAATAAATTTGGTGCCCATTTGGGGGCATTGTCAAAAAGCTCATGCATTGTCGTTCTTTTTCTCCGATGAATACCTTAAAGCTTCTTGACCGACCTAGCGCAGCAGCCACCGAGATATCTTTTTATTCCTTTCTCTGCCACCTACAAGTAGGTATTGCCAGTCATTTAATTTTAGCACATTTGCTCCCCGAAGTAAATGACCCCGGGCGTAAACCATACCCTTACCTTCTGTTGAACTAATGAATAGCCCGCTTAGCTTCCATTAGCGGTAACTATGTTCTTTGTGTTGAGTTATAATATTAATAGATGTGTAAATCTGAGTTGTAGCCTCATTTGCGGTCTCTTGTATCGTGTGATCGCCATGATGT